ACACGATTCGAGTGATATCTATCACTGAGAATAATTCATCAAATATCGTCCCTACTCGAAGTGTGATCAGTACTACAATCACTCCCCAGAGCTCAACAATAGTAGAAGTTGTGGATATATTTCAAGTTGATTGTATCATCTCTGGACTTTGTTCTTGGGGACAAGATGGAGATTTAGCTGTCTTGGCTCATATTATTCAAGACTATCAGAGTTCATCAGATGATGAAGAAACCAAACAAGATGGAACTGAAGATCGATACAAATCGTCAAAACGAAAACCTTCGGACCGTCCTGAATTAAGAATTATCTCGAAAGAAGGAGAAGAAACTTCATCCGATGCACTCAGTATCAATCACTTTGAACGATATCAAGCTCATGATTATTTACTTTGCCCTTTCCCGATCTCCACCAATAATAATCCTCGATCGGACAGAGAAGCAGGTGTCGGGAAGAAGACCTGGTCAGGGCTATACGTTTTATCACCACAAGATTTGATTATGGTCGAGCTGAGAAACCGATCAGATCATATCGGTTGGATGATTGAACATGAAGATTATGAAGGTGCTCTGAGAGAAGTACAAGACGCTGGTTTAGATGGAGTCGATGGATTCAGTTTAAGTGAGATTGGGAAAAAGTATCTTGATCATCTTGTCAATCACGGTCAGTTTTACTGTGATTTTTGTGCTGTGAGATGACTTAGTGATTGTAGCTCCGGCCCTCTGTTGGTCTATCTTTTTTGCATTTTAGGTCAATATGAAACCGCTGCCAAAGCATCACCAGCTATATTGGGGAATAATGCAAAGGCTTGGGAGGATTGGATATTCTTATTCACTGAAAAGGGGCAATTGGAGGTATGCTATGATTTCAACGTCGTCGTGGAGGGCCGAAACCGAGACAATGGGAAGAGAGCGTAAACTGTAGACAAGTTTGATAATTTATTTTCCCTTACAGGCAATCATTCCTCTCGTGCCAGTTGAAATTCCAAAACTTTCAAAGTTGGTCTATGAAGTCATTCTTGTTCATCTACTGCGAAGAGATCCTGAGGTATGTGTTCAAATACCTTCATTCGTTATTTAATCCTCAAGGTTTATGTTATGTTTTGTCGAGATCAGAACATGTTGAAGATGATCAGGAAATGGCCATCGGATATATACAATGTATCTGCTGTGATTTCAGCGACTCAAGATCGTTTAACTAGAATCAATGATGAGTCCAATGTACTCTTGATGACTTGTCTATCTGAACTGTAAGATTCCACCTTGCTTCTTTTTCACCATTTCCCAATCGTCTAATTCAAGTCTTGACTCTCTTAAACTTCGCATAGTTATATATTGAACCATCAACCCGGAAAAGCTTTGGCTTACTATTTGAGATTGAGAAAGCCAGAGGTGTTCGAATTGATCAAGGATCATAACTTGTTTACTGATGTACAAGATCAAGTGTTGTTATTGATCGAGTTTGATGATGAGTTAAACCCGTATCAAAATCTGAACAAGAAAGAGCATGGGATAGCTATCAATCTATTAGTTGAACATACTCATTCAATTCCCGTGAGTCTGCCTCTCTCTTGACAATTTCGATCTCTCTTGGCCTTGTAGAATGTATCATTGTGGAATTCTCAAAGGATTTTGTTTGATTTTTGTGCTTGTGAAAAAAGGTCTCGAGCGTCATAACTCAATTGACAGATTACAGACGATATCTGGCCACTTATTTGGATGCATTATTCGACGTCGATCCACTCTTAGCAACAGATTATAGCGATCTACATGTTGATCTTTTTGCAGAGTTTGATAGAAAAAGGTTAATGGAATACCTTCGAGCGAGCAACACGTATAGTCTTGCAAAGGTTCGGATTTGACTTCACATTCTCTCTATTTACATCCATGGTAATGGTTTATTGAGATGATGCTTGGTTGGGTTTGAATAGGCTTACAAGATCTGTAGTGAGGCCGACTTCGTTTCGGAGATGGTCTATCTATTGGGTAGGATGGGAGATAACAAGAAAGCTTTGTTCTTGATAATTGATCGGATTGGGGATGTTCAAAGGGTCAGCTCCTTATTAAATCGCCTATTTCTCCTCATCCGTAAGAAGAATGAAGACATCTTGATTTTACGGAGTTTGATCACAATCATGATTTTAGGCGATTGACTTTGCTAAGGAACAGAATGATCATGATCTTTGGGAAGACTTGTTATTGTATTCCGAAAGCAGACCAGGTATAGATACATTGAATTTCGAAACACAGTTTTGAGAAATGACTAATAGCTGTTTATCTTCATGGACTATATGTTTAGCTTTTATCAGAGGTCTGTTAGATAATGTTGGATCTGAAATTGATCCGATTAGATTGATTCGAAGAATTCGAAATGGGTTGGAGATTGAAGGTTTGAAAGAATCCATCATTAAGATTCTTCATGATTTTAATCTACAGGTCTGTGTTTTGCTTTTCTCTATCTTTCTGTCGATCTTTGTGGTTGCTAATTTTTTTGCTCTGATCCTCAGATCTCATTGATTGAAGGGTGTCGATCAATTCTGGTGAATGATTGTCGAGATTTATCGAGGATGTACTATGTCAGTCAGACAGCAGGAGCTTTAGGAGATAGTCAGTACATTCCTTTTCTGAATGAAGAATTTGGATACCACCTTATTTGTTTTTTTGCTTCACGTACACATAAAAGGCTCTCTGAAGTGTGAAAAGTGTGGTCTACAGTTAGATGAACCAGTAGGAGAAGAAGAATTAGCGAATGAAATCTCAGTCATGTTTCTTTGTAGACATACATTTCATGCTTGGTGTGTATTTGAAAAAGAAACAGTGATGGCAGCATTAGTGGAAGGTAGGATGAGAAAAGGTATGATTGGATCTAAATTTGAACAGACTGTTATCTTAATGTCTGGAGATGATGTAGGTTGTTGGATTTGTTGCAAAGCTTTGGAGAAGAAGAAGGTTGGAAATCTTTTAGTTTGAGGTTTGCTTTCTCATTAGCTTCTTGGTTTGAATTATTGTGTGAAGTTGGTTTTGGTTGTATTGAGTTGAGTTGTAACATCAGGAGAAGGTATAGATTTGGTAGTCATAAACTTGTGAAATGAACATTTGCTAATTGATTCATTTGAAGAACCTCTTTAATTACTATGAGGGATATATGCAAATTACACAACTTGAGTGAAAGATGAGATACTCGTGTGGTAGCTTGGGAAACTAGTGATATTGCTTAAATTTTTTAAGAGGATCCTGAAGTCTTGCAGTAAAGGGCGTTTTGAAAGTCCTTATAGATGAATGACCACACTTTGACATTCATCGTCATAATATTCGAGGAAGATGTCTGGACGACTCAATGACAAGACTTTCCATCTGAATCTTCGGCAGCATCAAGAATGATTGGTAAATATGATTGTTGGTAGAGATAACCAATCACTTGCTGACTTACACTATGCATGATCATGTTTGCCAAATCAACAAGGTATAATTATCTAGTGAGTTATCCTACATGGCTGCGACACCTACTCCATGCCAATCAAGTCTGCATAGTTTTTGGGGCGGATCGCCCAAAAGAATTGGATGTAGAGGCGAAGAGCAGCTCACTGATACTGTTCTATGTACCGGAAAATGGAGGGAATTGGGATACACATCGCGAAATCGCCGTTGATGTATTCAGATTCAAGCAAATCAGTCAGAGACCATTCCTTGTCGATACAAAAGCTCCCGGTTGGAAGAGACCATGCGACAACAATGTAGTCAGAAATCAATCCATATCATCAATTGTCTGCCCAAGTACCAAGCAAGTGTAAATATGTGAAAGATACTGGCACGAGAGCCACAGCTGTCATAGGCATCATCGTATTCAGGCAGGCATATGCAAACAAAAAAGGCTAAGAGACAAGTAATCGCAGTACGAAAAGAAAGCGGAGTCCTTGCATTGTGATCGCACGTGAGCGTCTAAGAAAGCTACCCTCAGCTACAAAATTTAATTCTTTGCCTGACATGATGTGCTACCAGGACTCGGAGTAGTACTATCCACGGCTATCTTCACCTGGTCATACCCGTCAGGCCCAGGGACCCAAGCGATACCAATCTGACTCATGAAAAGATGTCAGTTTTCAATTTTTCTGAGGTGATAATTGTTGGATACAAGTTATGAACTGTGAACTCACTCCGCCGGTGCACGTCTTTAAGATATAGTTATAGACTGGCGTGACTTCATCTACAGACCTGATCAATTTGAGACAATACAAGGCAAAGAGTCAAGACACGCTTCGATAAAAGCGTTTTAAATGGGGACCAATTGAAGTTGACTTACTTGAGTATAGGGGTCATAGTGCTGTTGTCTGGATTCTCGAACATAATCTGGAGGAAATCATCACCGTGGATCAGCAAATCAGACTTCAGTGATCCCATGGGATGATTTACTCCACTCACCAGACAGCCGCATTGGTCATGAAATTTTTCCCCCGCTTCGAACACCAATTGCCCCTGTGGGTCCAGAAATTTGTTCAACGCTCTACATATATCGTAGTATCGATGTTCAAGCAAATTAAAAAAATCAGCGCAATATCAAAACAAGGATGATGATCGAGGTCACTGCGTAAGCAGAGCAAGAAGAGACTTGCAATTGACACTCGGCCGGATTCACTGAGGGTGGCATGCCCTCGGCGGGGTCGAGACACCTACTGTTGTAAGTGGTTTCTTGCGAACTCGAAGTAGTGAACAAAGCTGCAGATATAGTAATAAACTTAAGAAGAGCTAGCATGATTTCAGGAGATGAGAATGAGGTAGGAAGTAAAGGTATATTAAACGAGTCGGAAGGTAAATTGGTCAAAGAATGCAAGAATGAGGGTGAGGCAGGAGTTCTGGCAGGAGTGAGTCTCAAAGGGTTCCTGCTTTATAGAGAAACACGGCGAGTGATGTCAAGTTGTCCGAGAGACTGTGAACTTAGATTTATAGATAGATGGATATCATAAAAGCTCTCCCACCAGCTCCCACCTCACAACAAAAGGCAAGTAGTAAACTTAACAAAGTCACTCAACGTGATATAAGACGTGAATCTTCGATACATATTCTTTTCGCATGTCAATAAGTCCCTGGATGCTGAGACAGCTGTCATTTGAGCAACTTGAATCCGCATGTTGAGGGACTGTCATAGACTCATCTAAACTCGTTATTTTGGCCTGAGTGGTACATAAGGATTCCTTTGCAGAGGAAATCTTAATTTCCCCATTGCCGTTAGCTCACCAGGGGATCTTTTTACCGCGCTTCATGGGCATATGTGCTGCCACTCGCTTCAAAATGTACAAATTGAATAATCAAAATTCCGCTGTTGCTCACCAAGCTATTTTTTTTTATCTTCACATTTTCACATGTGCATTTTCCTGTGAGTTGTATACAGGGCGGAGTATCTGATTGGTTGGCTCTAAGGGCCTCTATGACATCCAGATCCAAGGGCTTCTCCAACAACCAAAGTATGGGTCTGGATCTCACCTTGAAAGTCTGGAGTTGCCCACATTTGTAGTGATAGAGTTATGAGGAACATATTCATTCAATCTGTGTAAGTCTTTATATCTTTCTACAGTCAACCCTTTATATAGGCATGTTGCCCATCAGCAAATATGTAGTGCTAACATTGAGCAATGAATAATTTTGAAGTAAGCATAATCAGATTTTAGCCCTTTTTGGACTTGAATTACAGTCAGTTCAGAAAGGCTTGTCACAAATTCCGCACTACAGTATAGACTCTGACATAACCGATACCCAAAAAATATGGGTCAAAACTATCGGTTTTGACCGAGTATCTCTTTTTTCAAGGCTTTGGGAAAACCAATAATGGTCAAATTGCAGGCAAATTATTGGTTTTGACAAAGAAATTTAAAAACTTTACATGGTCAGGTGAGAAACAACATATTAGGGATTATTTTCATGTA